AAGAAATAGGTTTTATATAAATTATATATCATAATTATGTGTGCTGCTTAATCTGTATACAAAGTAATAGTATTCAACAAAATTGTGTGTAGGTACAGCTATTTCTATTATTTCTTTCTTTAATTTATATTCTTTAATTGTGAATTGTTTACCATTATGGTGCTTAATTAAATAAGAATTACTAATGACTAGGTTTTAAAAAAAGTAAAGTGTCAGCCTATACATGTACCACGGCTGGGCCTCCTCTGTACAGAGGAGGCCTTTGCCCAGCTTATTCTCGTAAGTGCTGTGGTGGAAGAAAACATCGTGAGGAAACATGCATATTTTCGTAATAATAACAAAATATTTTGAAGATATGTGAAATCCGCCAATCCGCAGTGGGGCCGCGTGATGCACTATGCCCAGATACCCTCTGCATCCGGAGGCCATTTCCTCCTCTGTACCGTTCTTTTGAGACGTACTAACATTTAATTGCTTCAACAATGGTGCAATAGCAGTTAGCATCGTAGACACTCAATAGGCAGGCGTGGGCTTAAATCCCATGGACAAAAACAATAAGTGATTTTTAATTAAATAAGTGCGATAGGCTTCAATAACCACATTTCGCGACTTGCTATCTTGTTTCGCCGTAAATTACCCGATAAATAACATAAACGAAACGTATACGTGAAATGTTGTGTTATATTATCTCTGCTTTACACAGGCAATATTTTTTCTCCGCCCTATCCGAACCGCTCGTATCATTATAATTTACTGCGATTTTATACACAATAAATCAAGTTCAACGCGGATAAAACACATAAAAATATCAAAGTGAACATTTGGATTGATTAAAATCACTCGTTTGTTATTTATTCAGTTCTAATTTTAATAAAAATCATAAAATATTTTCTAAAGGTTGCCAACGCATCTGTAACCCTCGGGTGTAGCAGATGTCCATGGGCGGCGGTATTCACTTACCATCAGGTGAACCGTCTGCTCATTTGGCAACTTTTCACAAAAAAAAATAAAAAACATCGGCCTATTGCGAGTCACGCACAAAGGGTTACGTTTTTTGCTTGCACTTGGCCCGTTTTTGTATTTACACCTTTCCGAGTGATCTTACGAATTTCCGCGTGATTTCAAACTTCTTTCCGACCAAAAGTATCATCAGGGTGTCTAACACAACAACAAGAGCCTTTACTATGTCAGTATTCTATAATGAATTTAATTTAATGTTTTTCACCGTAACGAAGCTGAAAAATAATGAAACGTCCAGTTTAATAGCGCAGAACTTACCACGGTTGCGTAGTAAAGGTTTTACGACTTGTGACTTGTGTGAGGTAGATTAGGTTAGGTGCACGAGCGTCTTATGAGGCACTCAAATGTAAGTACTAGAGCCCGTCTTATTTCAACGTTCACTTAGTTTTCACAGCTTTTCTTTAAACTTTTCACATTCCTAATACTTTATAAATATTTATTGAAATTGTGAAAAAATACAATCTTAGTATAAAATAAATCACGTGTAAGGATCACGCAAAACATTTGCGACACAAAATACTCCCAGATTTGGTACAATTTATATAAGAACCGAACCCACGCCAATAATACGAAATGGTATTTGGCAAAGTGATCACCTAAACCATTGTGTTATTCTTATAACTCGAAATATCTATATGTCCATTGCTGAATTCGACGCATCTGCAAGCGTGTTGTATATGATCATGGCCGGCAATATGGGTGGCGGTATTCACTTAACACCAGCTTAACCACCAGCTCTAAAAATAAAGTCTCAGGAACAATGAGCAAATTTGCTTTGAATCTTATTTACGGTTTCAATCTGACAATTCCTCTCAGTAAATTTGATTTAATCAGTGTCGTATGATATACTAGAATGTAATTAATATCATATAATAACGTAGAATTTAAGATAAAGATATATAAGAAATCAAAATACGATTAAAAATGTGTAAAAATGAAATACAAAATTAAGAATAGTTTCTGAATCTACTGCAACAGGAATGGCCGCAGCGGGAGCATCTTTGCAATGAATTTCTTCGTCTCCTTCGCAAGGCGTTCTCAGACTTGCAACGGTTTCTCTTTTTTACTTTACTCCGCGAAACGACCAAATCGAATGCCATTACGTTGGGAATCGCACCTTTGGCTAGACTCCTCAAGCACTCTTTCGCTTTGGATTTACATTGGCGAAGTAGGATTGGCCGCTGCCTCGTAAATTCGTCATTGCGTTCTTGATTGGTCATGCCATTTGACTTGCTTGTGGTGGCATGAACGGCAGAAACTCTAATCGCTAATGCTTCTTGGTCATGTGTTAAACCTTTGATAGATTTCAGGCCGTCGGTTCTCAAATCTTCACTCAATTTAGCTTTTGTCGTGAACTCACTATTTTTAGCTGCTTCAGATTTTGTTGAGTCACTGCCTCCGAAATAACTTTTTTCCGTTGAATTTTGTTCCATCTCATAAATTCATCAGTTATTATGTTGGATGATATATTATAAAACAATATGAGAGACAGAAAGCATCTGTCAGATTAGTTTTTTTGTCTAGCTAACCAAAGAGTATATAAAATCTTCACGTTTCCACCAAACTCATTTATTCCTAAGTGGTTATTAGAAAGCTTGCTTATGTATATTTTAACCTTACTTTAGAGGAGGACTCAACTGTATATATTAGTTGATGGTATCAAATGTAGAAGGATTACAATGTCTTCTTTGTAACTTTTTAATTGTCACCAGACTATAGACAATATTAGCGACTGCTTTTTATTTTTAGTGCTTGCCTCTGAACTTAAATGAAACTTAAAATGTGTAGAAAAATTTTCCACCGCTGCCAGAATTTTAAGTCATAACATCACTTTTTAAATCAACTATTCCCATTATTTGCAGATATTGGTATAACTGGTTTGGTGTCCAGGCAAGAATAAAAATACTAATCTCTGCTTGTAGATGTATCTCAATTTTTCATCATAACCTGAACAGTGGTTAACTAAGCCCAGTAATACTTAACGGTGATGTAGCCATATGGTTTTAATAATACTTGTGCATTCTGCATTGATATTCATTTTATAAGTACACGTTATATTATTTTGATATTACGGACGGAAGATGTCCGGGGACGCGATAAAATAACAATTTGTGCGAGGACTGAAGTGATTTGACGCGTGTGACAGTCTACTGATATGAATTGAATCGAGAAAATGTCATCGTGTTACGACAGAAAACAGTTCTAGTATCTAGTTAATCACGTCCCCTTATTTGCCTCCACATTCTCACATTAACTTCGTAACTGTTATTCGTAACTCTTACAACGCAATACAATCTCAAAAAGAGATAAATCCACGTGTAACTGTACTAACACTTAGAAGCAAACATGTGACTACGATTTACAACCCTCCACAATTGCTGAACGTTAAAGTTTCCGCTCGTATCGGCCCCTATAATTCATTGCAGACACAGGAAATTGAAAACACTCGTACGCGTGAAAATTCGCAATATTGACTAACTAAACTGCACTGCACTTTACGGTGTGTATGCAGAAAGTTTAAACCAAATAAAAGTGATGAAAAGGTTAAAAAAATAATGATTTATTAATTAATTACACTTAATTACAAGTCGCTTAAAAGTATTAAAGTTTTTATTATGATTGTTAAAATTTTACATACATATGATCAAAGCATTCATCATAACGTGAATAAAGATTCACAAGTTTTTGCTAATTTAAAATTGCAGTCTTGAGACTCGCAAATCTGCATATATATATATATATTATAGTTTTCACACATTTGACATCTATTTTGATTGTACAATTTTTGTTTATTTTACATATTCCATTTGTTCTGAGAATTTCACTATTGATTAAGCGTAAATGAAGTTGTGATCTACTTCCAGCTTTCTAAGAAGCCGCGTCGGAAGCTCAGACACGATGTTTGACGGAATTTTATCTGGAAAATAATAATAAGGTTGAAATGCCTCCTGTTAACAAAACGGCCTTTAATATTTTTTTAATTTTTAAAAAGTAAAGTAAAGTAACAGCCTATACATGTCCCACTGCTGGGCAAAGGCCTCCTCTATAGAGAGGGTATCAGGGCATAGTCCACCACGCGGCCCCACTGCGGGTTGGCGGACTTCACATATCTTCGAAATATATTTTTTTTGTTATTATTTCGAAAATATGCAGGTTTCCTCACGATGTTTTCCTTCACCGCGGAGCACGTGATAAGTCAGCACTTAAAGTTAAAAACTTCATTGGTGCCGGCACCGGGGATCGAACTCAGGTTGCTCGAGTATATTGAATTAAAGGCGAGCGCCCGGACACTGAGCTATCACGGCTCTTTTTTTAATATTACTTTTTAATTTTTAATATTACTTTAATTTTTTTTTATTTTTGCGTTTACAAACGCTTTGAAATAATTACGGAAACCGATAGTCTGGAAACTGGATCTGAGTTCTTTGATTGTTCAAAGAACTAAGATCGAATTTCCAGACTTTGAAATTGGTCCAAGTTCTTTGATCAAATAAGTTTACGATTTTACAAGTTTTCTAATGACTGTTGCATATAAAGACTTATATATATATACTGTTGCATATACAGTTTAATCACCAAATACCGGATATAAGTTTATAAGTAAGTTTAAAAGAAAAGTGTACAATTATCTATCGATATAAATGAAGGGTCTGTAGTAAGTTTAAAAGAAAAGTGTACAATTATCGATATCTATCGACATAAATGAAGGGTCTGTAGTAAGTTTAAAAGAAAAGTGTACAATTATCGATATCTATCGATATAAATGAAGGGTCTGTATAAGACTACAATATTTAGAAAAATATTGCAATTAATCCCATCTCCGACGAGAATCTAAGATAAAATTATTAATGTTGGTTAATGTTACATTTATCCCTAATCCAACAGATGTCATTATCAGAAATATCTCACTAGTAGATCGAGGTTAAGACTGACTTTTAGAGAAGAACACGAAAGCCCGTCAACGTTTTAAAAAACACTCACCCGTTACAGCGGTAGACCAGATTGGACCAGATGATCATCTCCTGAGAGAAGCAGAAGACGCCGAGGCGACCGCCCTTAAGAGAGAAGTCGTACACGTTCCCAGAGTCTGCCACTAAGCGGTTGTTCTCGTAGACCTTCAGCCTGATCAGGCCAATCTTCGGCCGGTGCAGTAGACGCCAGCGGTACGCGGTCTTCTCACGCCAGCCAACGTTGCGAGGGTCCTTCCACAGTAAAGTCACCTGCAAGAGTTATTATAACATCATAACTGGCTACAACATTGTATTTTCTTTCATTGTCAACATTCATAAGAACTCCTTTTATAAATAATATAGTGGTTGAGAAAGTCTTTTCAATTGGAGGAGAAGTTCTTCTCAATTCGACTGTATTTTTTTTTTATTTTAGTTGCCTCCGATTTTGATGATTTTTTTTTACTTTAAAGCTAGTGCTTCCCATGTGGTCCCATATTAATTTCATTGGTATTGGACCTTGAGTTCCGGAGATACTTATGGAAATCAATTATAAAATGAGCGAGATATTTGAAGTCGGTCTTGTTTTTCGTTAGTAAAAAAAATGGTTATCAAACAACACATCCAAGAACGTGCAAGAAGATATTCTCAGTACTCTATGAGGAAAAAACATCTGGTGTTTTCAATCATACCTGGTCTGGTGTCGACTCCGTGTTCCACAGAGCGTTCCTCAAGGTCTTCCCAGGGCCGGTCTTCGAGTTGACCACCTTCAGCTGTATCCCGGGTTCGGCCACGGCTCGGAACGGCGTCGTCTGCCAATACGTCTGCGTGTTCTTCTTCCACATCACGACATAGAAACGCTTGTTGTTCTGATATCTGTTAAGGATAAAAGTAAAGTGACAAACAAAAGCCTATACATATTCCACTGCTGGGCAAAGGCCTCTTCTGTACAGAGGGTATCAGGGCGTAGTCCACGCGGCCCAACTGCGGTTTGCGAACTACACATATCTACGAAATATTTTTTTTCTTAATAGTTCCGCTGATAACTCACATGATAAGTCGGCACTTAAAATTAAGAATTTCATTAGTGCCGGGACCGAGGATTAAATTCAAGTTGCTAGAGTATATATTTAATTAAAGGCGAGCGACCGGACCAGAGCTGTCACGGCTCTTAAGGATGTTTTTTTTTATTCAAAAACTGGCCTGCACTTTACTGCCATCCCACCTGATGTTGTCGAAAGTGGAACAAGGAAGCGGATCAATTAGTTCGTCGCCAACTTCTTTAAACAATATTTAACGATCACTATAAAGCCCACTCACCCAAATATGAATCCCACGTAATCGTCATCTATCTGCGTGTCGACGAATAGCGTTCCCTCAAAGTCAACCCCTCCGAACTGATCGAAGCCCACCGCTAGCCCAGGGTCTGAATTCAGGGTCTGGATTATCTCCGCGCCGTCATTGGCTATCACCCAGTTGGGGTCCTGCTGTGACTCGCCCTCGGGGTCCAAACGCACAGTCATGTACTGCCTATAAATAGAAGTGCAATCGTCTTTCAAATAACACTAGATAAATAAAGATTGGTGGATGATCAAGAAGAAGACTCTGTTATGAAAAAAATATATTACTATTACACTGTAATGTAATATCTCCTATATATTTTTGTTTTTATTCTACTTTTTAATAGCTATATGTATGGATCACTTGGAAAACTTTGACTGGTGGAAATGGCACTAGCATTAATTCGCCCTTATTCTAAGTCCAACTGTGTTCTTGGAAATAAAAAGTAAGCCAAAAAGCAAAAACAGATCTAAACATGCAAACATCCACCCAGAACTTTCACGATTGAGAAATGATAGAAGGCACAATAATTTAAGCCGCCTGCGCCTAATTAAATCGGCTTTACAAGTTGTGCAACTCTACCATCAGGTATAAGAACACTAACGAAATCTATGTGATCAATGTTCACAGATTCAGATCTGCAAAGGTTTGCTATTCAGATAGCAAAGGTTTTCACGGCGTAGTGGAAGCGAGACCAAAAGCCAATTGTGCTGTAGCACGAACGAGAGGGCATAACTCTCCCCCCGCCCAAGGCGTGTATCCCCTTCGATAGCTATAACACTGTATTGCTCTATGGCCCTAACTTCCTCTAGGGGTGCACAGTACATAAAATATAATCATTATCTAGTAAATACTCACCTGAAATCTGTGCGGAATATTCTAGAATTGTTCGGACAGTTGTCCAAAGCGTTTGTGACATTGTCCCCGTCGAAGTCGTTGGTGCATAGGTCACCGATGTTATCGCCTGAAAGAGTTTGTATCATCAGCTGCTGAGATTTATTAGGACGCTTTTGGAGGATACAATATATGTATGGGGTAACATCAACATTCAGACGAAGACAAATCAAATCCAACTAAATATTCCATTGTTAGATATTTTGATTTATAAGATTTGTCAGAGATTGTTGAAATCAACATTAAAACTCATCAATCATTGTTAATTTAGACAATCTTTGATGACACTTAGATGATAGATCACTATTTAGAAGGAATTGAATTTTAACCATGATCCGCTACGAAATAAGTAAAATAATAAGTATTTTTATTGTTACAAAACATTAATAAAAATTAACAAATGTTATGTATAACCAGATTGTTGGGTTAAGGATCGATACCCGTGAGATGTGCATGCGAGACTATCGTCATCTTTGTCGCTACGGATGCCTCTCAATCGCAATGATGCTAGTGGCGGGGTACACTAAGAAAAACACTTTAAAACTCAAGACCTGTATAAGACCATGGTATAGTTGCAAGGGTACATGAAACTCACCATTACTGTCCAGCTGGTTAGGGTTCGGCACTAAAGGACAATTGTCCTCTAAGTTGGGGATGCCGTCGCCGTCTATGTCGTCGTCACAGGCATCGCCTTTTCCGTCGTTGTCTACATCTAGCTGATCGCTGTTTGCCAGATTGGGGCAGTTGTCCAAGCCGTCTTGGACACCATCCCTATAAAGAAAGTAAACATCATAGATATAAATTTCTTCATGGAAAGAGATTTTTTTTAAGAGAGTAGAGAATGCAATCGATATAAATCATGCTACGGTGTCGACAGTTACTAAAGTCTTGGGCCGTTGTCGCTAAAAACGAATGATGAAGCTGGTACCTTTGGTGAAATGTGTATTATAATGATAAATAGTCAATGTTTCGGGGGAAATATTTTTTCGCCACTAGTCCCAAACTTGGTAACTGATACACATCCTTAAACGTACTTTTCTTTTGCAAATAAATACTTATTATAGATAAATTACCCAGATACTAGAAAAACATGAGTGGGGATCGAATCCACACCCTCTGGCGCAAGAGACAGGATCACTATCCTAGTAGTAGTACACTAATTACACATCTCTTCGCTTGTCTTAATCGACATCCATAACCCGTAACATGAACCAAGAAACGAATGCCTGCAAATAACTACACGTAGTATAATCGGTTGAAGACCGTTGTTAGTTAGACCAGTAGACCACGAAGACCTTTTGCGGTAGCAGTTACTCAAACAGTCTCTCTACTAACTTCTGGAGCTCTTTTATGTCTTTGACAGTAATATTATGTAGTTCAGAAGTAATATTCTTGTTTTTACGCGAACACTACACATGGTCGAGACTATTACACGGATTTCATCGCGTTTTCGGACCCTTTCCTGCTTTTCTAATAGACAAAGATGGTGTACAGTTTTACTAACTGGTCGCGGTCGACGTCGCTGTCGCAGGCGTCTCCTACGTTGTCGCGGTCCGAGTCCTCCTGAGAGGGGTTCCGGACGCGTGGGCAGTTGTCGCACGCGTCGCCGATGTAGTCGCCGTCAGTGTCCTCCTGGCCCGGATTGTGCACCAGGGGACAGTTGTCGTTCTCATTGGGGATGCCTGAAGGAGGGATATTATGCTTTATATAGTTACTCATGGTAGAGGGGGGACAGTTGTCGCTCTCTTTGCGGATGCCTGAGCCCGATATTTATATTTTACATAGTTGATCATAAAGGGGGGACAGTTGTCATTCTCATTGGAGATGCCTGCAGGAGCGATATTATGTTTTAAATAATCGTTCATGGTAAAGGGAGGACAGTTTTCGTTCTCATTAGTGATGCCTGCGGGGGCTATATTTTGTTTTAAATAGTTGATCATAAAGGGGGGCCAGTTGTCGTTCTCATTGGGGATGCCTGCGGGGGCAATATTATGTTTTAAATAGTTCCTCATGGTAGAAGGGGAGCAGTTGTCGCTCTCTTTCCGGATGCCTGAGGCGGATATTTATGTTTTAAATAGTTGATCATAAAGGGGGGACAGTTGTCGTTCTCATTGGGGATTCCTACGGGGGCAATATTATGTTTTAAATAGTTGCTCATGGTAGAGGGGAATAGTTGTCGCTCTCTTCACGGATGCCTGAGGCGGATATTTATGTTTTAAATAGTTGATCGTAAAGGGGGGACACTGACCCCGGGACAGTTGTAGTTCTCATTGGGGATGCCTGCGGCGCGATATTATGTATTAAATAGTTATTCGTGGTCGATATAGTACCTAAATGTGGAACCAACTGCCACTAGCGGTCTTTCCGAACCGTTACGACCTGGAAACATTCAAGAAAAGAGCATACTCTTTCTTAAAAGGCTGGCAAGGAATTTCAGTTCTCATTAGTGATGCCTGCGGGGGTTATATTATGTTTTAAATAGTTGATTATAAAGGGGGGGGGCCAGTTGTCGTTCTCATTGGGGATGCCTGCGGGGGCAATATTATGTTTTAAATAGTTCCTCATGGTAGAAGGGGAGCAGTTGTCGCTCTCTTTCCGGATGCCTGAGGCGGATATTTATGTTTTAAATAGTTGATCATAAAGGGGGGACAGTTGTCGTTCTCATTGGGGATTCCTACGGGGGCAATATTATGTTTTAAATAGTTGCTCATGGTAGAGGGGGAATAGTTGTCGCTCTCTTCACGGATGCCTGAGGCGGATATTTATGTTTTAAATAGTTGATCGTAAAGGGGGGACACTGACCCCGGGACAGTTGTAGTTCTCATTGGGGATGCCTGCGGCGCGATATTATGTATTAAATAGTTATTCGTGGTCGATATAGTACCTAAATGTGGAACCAACTGCCACTAGCGGTCTTTCCGAACCGTTACGACCTGGAAACATTCAAGAAAAGAGCATACTCTTTCTTAAAAGGCTGGCAACGAATTTCAGTTCTCATTAGTGATGCCTGCGGGGGTTATATTATGTTTTAAATAGTTGATTATAAAGGGGGGGGCCAGTTGTCGTTCTCATTGGGGATGCCTGCGGGGGCGATATTATGTTTTATATAGGTGCTCATGGTAGTGAGGGGTAGAGTTGTCGCTCTCTTTGCGGATGCCTGAGGCGGATATTTATGTTTTAAATAGTTGATCATAAAGGGGGGACAATTGTCGTTCTCATTGGGGATGCCTGCGGCGCGATATTATGTATTAAAAGTTATTCATGGTAAAGGCGAGGTGATAGTTTTTAAAATTCCCTATTTTAATGTGAGCGTGAGCATGCGAGTATTGTAATGTGTGAATAGTCGATATAGTACCTAAATGTGGAACCAACTACCACCGGCGGTCTTTCCGAACCGTTACGATCTGGAAACCTTCAAGAAAAGAGCATACTCTTTCTTAAAAGGCCGGCAACGTATTTGTGAGCCCTCGGGTGTTGCAGGTGCTCATGGGCGGCGGTAATCACTTACCATCAGGTGAGCCTCCTGCTCGTTTGTCTATTTCTCCATAAAAAAAAACTTGCGAAAATGTCATTGAATTTAAAAATTTAAAAATCTTTAGTTTGTAGCTTCGGCTTCATCTTCGCTTCATACTTATTTCATCGAAAATAAATTAAATAAAATAAAATTATTTTCATTATTATAAGATAAATCAATATCTTACCGTCGTCATCCATATCGGGATCGCAGATATCACCCAGGCCATCACGATCGGCGTCCTCTTGTCCTGGGTTGTAGCGACGGGGACAATTGTCACATGCGTCGCCCCTCTTATCGCTGCGGTCTTCGTCGCGATCCAGTTGATCCGGGTTGGCTACCAGCGGACAGTTGTCCTGACGAGATAGAATTTTTTTTTAATCTGAGAAGGTGCTAAGCGGGCTGACATTTGCAACACCCGTAGGGTGGCAGATGTTTTGCCACCTGTTAATAAAGTGAGCCCCGGCTACCCCACTCACCAGACGAAATGCAGAAACTTCACATATGTGGTTTATCAAAAGCTCGCTTTAGTGACACACACCAATTACTTTCTATCTTCGACTACAATATAGTCAAAATTTTGAGTAAAAATAAATGATTTTTTTTTTTCACATTGATGCCGATTGATTACCAGCAGACTCAATAATATGTGCCATCTCAATAAGCTCGATTTAAAGTTGTACATTTTTAAAAGAAAAATAAATTGATATACATAATAAAAAAAAGAAATAACTACCTCCAATAAAGCATAATATAAAAACGAAAACATGATTATAAGCAGATTACTGTGATCACTACAGTTGAACTAACAAGTAAACTTTCCCAAAATGAACATTTCAGAAACATTACTGGTATTTTATTACTGTCTTGGTGTATTATAAATATTATTGTAGTACACATGAGTCACCACAATCATCACTACATAGTATAAAACAAAGTCGTCCCGCTATCTGTCTGTGTCTATGTATGATCAGATCTTTAAAACTACGCAACAGATCTTGATGCGATTTTTTTACTAGATAGAGTGATTCAAGAGGAAGGTTTTCATGTATAATAATACGTTGCACCCGCACGAAGCCCGGTCACCTCATTCACCAGAGTTTAAACAAAAGTGTGAATACTTCTTTTTTAGGCTGGTCTTCTGCGACGCATTGGCACTTACCCAGAAAGCAGAAGCTAACGCTTAGGTCTATTATAATCAGATTTACTTACTGGTATATTGGGAATACCATCACCGTCAGCATCGGTGTCACAAGAGTCACCGATTCCGTCACCGTCAGCGTCCTCTTGTCCGGAGTTGGACACATCCGGACAGTTATCCGCCTTGCAGTGTCGCTCATTGCACGGCAAATGTTGGTCGGGATATCCGTCCAGATCTCTGTCTGGTCCGCAGACAGTCCCATTGCCAGCCCAGCCCGTCTGGAGAGAATATTGGCGAAATTCAATATCCTTTCCCCTAAGCCGTCATAGGCATTTTTTCGTTAAAGGATTTTTGTTTACAGTAACCGTAATATCATTGCTGTATATGCTAACTTCTTTTATTGTAAATAATTTAGTTAAGTTTCTCATCTAAGAGAACAATGTTATTAATGTATGTTCTTTTGGGAAATAAATTCTTTAAATCGAATCTCCGACATTGTTATCTGATATATATTAAATTCGATTATTTTGTTAAGTTTTCTTATACAGGATTTTTTTACGATATTATTTTTTATAGTGCTAGTCGTCCAACTTAGATGAAATTTTAAAAATTGGTAGGAAAATGACTGAAAATTATTTTTTGTGACCCTTCTACACATTTTTTGACAGAGGTATTCGCAGAAAATGAATTATTTAAGCTCATAAAAATTATAACTTTGAAATGACCCCGAAACACTCCTTTTGCATCGAATATACGGATATAGAAATGCTACGGATAATAGTCGCATCAACAACTACCGTAGCGGCTCGACGTGACCAAACACGTCAGCGGCTACGCGCTACGAGCTTACCGCGCGCACACACTCCTGACCGTGGCTAAACACGGCATTAGCTACGCGCTACGATCTTACCGCGCACACGCACTCCTGGCCGTAGCCGCAAACGGCGTTGAAGCGGCGACAGCGCGACGGCTCGCAGCGCTGCACCAACGAGTCGGGCTCGAGGCACGGCCGCGACGTGTTCACGTAGTAATTGCCGCCGCAAGGGACGCACGTGTACGAGCCCTGAGGAAAAATCAACATCAGCCACTGCCGTATCCAATCTTTTTTTGTACATGGGAAAAATTCTTTATGGATCCCCTGCTGCCCTGTTGCTTCAGGGGTATCTTAGAGTTCACGAGGAACACAGGTATACCCACGTTGCACCTTCGCTGTCGCTTTTGCCGGGGACACGGGAACACGAGAACTGAATCTTCCGAGAACTCCGGTGCGACTGTACCCTTCTCAAGCCTCCCTAAGGATTAAGACTCCCGCTCCAGACATGGTGCCATGTCGTCCTTATCCGACCTAGGTGGAGTCAGCACAAGATGTGAACAATATTGTTAGTGGTATCGGCTTGGTTTTTTACGACCGGCCGCCTCCCTAACGTCAACCCCCTTGGAACGAACACCGTGATCAAAAACAATAATCCTTAGGGAACTTGCCCCGAGTGGGAATCAAGCGCACAACTCCCGACGCCGAACCAAATAGCTTGGAAACATCGCCACAGGCAAAAGTAAATGGCGAAATTAACAGGCTGTTTCTTATGTTCTTATATTCTATCCCCGCTATGGAAGCCCCCCGAAAAGCATCAGGTATGGCATGCAAAGAAAAGAAACGCCACGGTCGCAGGCGGTCAGCGTCCGGTTTCCTAGACACGGTCGCAGGTAGTCATCAGCATCCGCATCAGGAAGCCTCCTGCATACGCAGCTAATCGTCGGCTACCCACGGCCGCCAAGGCGCGGTGACCATCTGCGTGCAAAGTCACCGGCTTCCTGCATACGCAGTTAATCTTCGGCTGCCTGAACACGGCCAAAGGCACCAGCCTGCAAGGCCCCTCACCGGCGTGTTGACGCAGAGCCGGCCGCGGGGGCAGGTGGCGCGGCCGTCCTCGCACTCGTCGAGGTCGACGCAGCGCTCGCGGCGGCGCTCGTCGCCCGCGCCCCGCCACCCCGCGCCGCCCGCGTACCCCGCGGGGCACGGGCCGCACGTGAAGCCGCCCACCTCGTTCCGGCACGAGACCAGCTCGTCGCACGGCCGGTTCAGGTCGCACTCGTCGATGTCCACGCACACGTAACCTGTCGCGTGAATTGTGACGGCGCACGGTTGTCTGCCGGCGTTTTCAGGGTTCCGTGCCCGAAGGGTAAAACGGGGCCCTATTACTAAGACTCCGCTGTCTGTCCGTCTGTCTGCACGTCTGTCACGAGGCTGTATCTCATGAACCGTGATAGTTAGACAGTTGAAGTTTTCACAGATGATGTATTTCTGTTGCCGTTATAATAACAAATACAAAAAATTGTTTAAAACAATATTTAAGTTAGGTTCCCATACAACAGACATGATTTTTTGTCGTTTTTATAGATAGAGGTACGGAACCCTTTGTGCGCGGTTCTGACTCGCAATTGGTTGGTTTTATTAACAGGCTAGATGCGTAACGAGCAGCTGGTTCGATAGCAAAAAATTCGCTGTGAACTCGCGCAAGGATTTTTTTTATGTAAGAAGATGGAAAGCATGCTGGCCTACCTTTAGGAAAGTACTCACCGTTCCACTGATAGCCTCTAGAACACTCTTGGCAGTCGTAGAAAGGGCTCGATGAGGTAGGAGTGCACTTCCTCTCCCCGCAAGGTTTCCTCGCGTCACAAACATGCTGGCACCTCTGCCCATCTCCTATGTACCCGTCGGGACAAGACCCGCAACGAGGTCCCGATGCCGTCTCCTGGCATTGGACACCTGCAACGGGAAAATTAAAACAAGTTGACATACCTTATTCTGGACCTAATGATGGAGAAATGTTGCTCTGACACTTCGCAAACCACACCAGAAAAATGAATATCTTTATGTACCTTCTTATGGAGAAATGTGGCACTGACTTTTGCAAGACCACACCAGAAAAATAAAACTTGTTTATATACCGCTTGAGTCTTCTAATGATAACACCTGGATATAACTACGTGGCGTGGGGTTTGTAAGAGCTGGTCCGGTTACCAAACTCATCAGACGAAACGCGAGTATAAATACGTAGAGAAATAGATAGAAGTGTTATTAATTTTGAATTTTAAGTAAATTGTAAGAGATCTTTGCATTAGCTAGTAGTCCATATACGCTTACCTTGATAACACGAGATATGGCGGCACGAGATCCTTTCACACTCCTCGCCGTTGCCATGGAAACCAGCAGGACACTGGCCACAGCGGTAGCCACCGCCTGGCAAGTCCTGGCACACCACACCTTGAATACAGTAAGGCCCCAAAGTAAGCAAAATTAAAAATCAAGGATAACAGAAAAAATAGGAGATTAGAGTCTTTAAGAAGCAACAGCGATGTATCACAAAAGGCCCTAAAGCTCCGTTTATATCTACAGACAAAGAGCGTGTCAAACACGTACCGTGACACGCACGGACAATTACTGGAGGAGAAACACCAGGATAATACTAAAAAAAGGACAAGACGTATGACCGTACAATACTCAAGAAAAGAAAGTTAGAAGGATTAGATGGAAGGACAGAAGGAAATTGGAAGGAGAATATTGGACATTACAAAGAGCTAATTGATCATGAGGAAAAATGTTTCATATAATAGCAACTCACGTCCACCAAAGCACGGATTCGAACTGCATGCCGAGCGGCAAGTCATGCCGTCGCTGCTCTGCCCACCGGGACATCGCTCGCAACGGTAACCCTGTTCGGTGTCCACGCAGTATTCCACTGAAATACCAATACATTTCTACAGAACTAAATCAACCACTTCAAAGGCGTGAATGTAACCAAATAAATAGAGAACCCACACCCCCGGCGCAAGAGTCACTACCCACTACGCCAATCGGGTCGTCATTGATCTAATAACTGAGGTAGAGCCACGCAGCAGTCTCGGCTGTTGCACGAATGGGCAGGCTCGTCCGGGTAAGTACCACGACCTCATAGAAGACCGGCGTCAAGTGGAAGTATAATACTTTCGCGTTTCGTCTGGTGAGTGAGGTGGCCGGAGCCCAATTTCCAAAGAGGTTGTCAACGGATCTGCAAGCCCCCGGGTGTAGCAGATGTCCATGGGCGGCGGTATTCACTTAACATCAAGTGAACCGTCTGCTCGTTTGGCAACTTTTACATAAAAAAAATATAAAAATTACATAAAAACATAAAAACTGAAACTTTAACTCACCCTGCGAGCAAGGTCTTCTGGAGCAGGGCACGGGTCTGCAGCGTCTCCCGTCACCCTCCATACCACGTGGGCAGCCGCCGCACTGGAAACCCGTTGCCGTATTCCGACACTCCACACCTGCGAGACTTCTATTATGAAGGCTATTTCAGAGCATTGCGTCTGAAGCACAGATTCCGGCCGTCCATAGTCTCCAATGCTCGTTCTCTTTTTTTTTTTTTGAAACGCTGTATTCTGCTGGTTCGTTTTACAAACATACATTTCAAGTGGACAAACCGGTGCGAAACTATTTGTGGGTCACACAAATAGTTGTCCCGTCTGGGGTTCGAACCCACGACCACCGACGATGAGGCTTATACCTGGACAACTGCGCTACGGACTCATCGTTCTGAATTGAGTGTTCAGTTTAACAGCGCGTTAACGTTAAACGGCGTTACTCTTCAATTGTATGCTCGCTTCGGACGTCCGAACGAAATATTCTACAACGCATTGTTTTAACATATCAATAAAGTAGTAATGTTACTTTCTGAATTACTTTTTTATATGGAAAAGAAGGATCACTGCCACCGATGGCCATTTGCAACAACAGGGGATTGATAAATGTATTGTTGACCTTTTAATTGGTAAGATACTCTATTTTTGATAGTACTTCACTACATTTCTGTAAAAATTCATTTTCATAAGAAATCATCCCGATCATACAGAGGTGTAGACTGAGGTAGATTACAATTATTCTCCATAGTCTATCTCAACGTGTTGTGAAGAGGCGTTAGATGTCTATGATGATAAAATTATCATTGTACATCGTTCGACATTCAGCACAATAGATTTTTATCTTTATTGAAAGTCAACGAATGGCTTCCTCAATCTGTCACGTAATTCACTACGATGGTATATAACCATCGTAGTGAATTACTCTTATGCTAGAAGTTTAATATTTTAAACATCAATATATCGTGTCTATAATGGCATATAATGTTGAGACTATCAATTCATCAAATTATGAATTTCACGATAAATCGTCGCACATCTATGTACCCCAAAAATAAACATACATTTATAACATTAATGTTTCTTCAATAACTTCATGTTTTAATGCACTAATCTGGTGTTCTTAAGAGAGATTATAATGATTTCTGGTATGCTTAATTGATTTTCCCAAATTAAACTACTACATTTTTGATAGGTCACATGATTTATGCAACACTCACTAATGGATGAAAATCAACTTATTTGTATTTTATTCGAAACCGGTCAAATGCAACCGATAAAATGAAAAGTCGCTTATACCTTTGGCCTACTTCGATATCGTGTAAAACAAGGTTTTTGATCATACAAAAAATGATTTATCGTTATTTCAATTGTCGCATTTAATTGAGAAGGTATTAAAGGATAAACTCAGCGACAGAGTTCCCGGTGCCTACGCTACAATTTTCGATAATTACCATAACATTCAGTAAAAACTCGTTCAACCCAATTTGCCAAGATCAATCAAGCAACTCAATATTCCGCGTAGGTGCAACTCGGAACTCCGCACAGAGTTAGCCGGCGAACTGTGTCATTAGAGGAATGTGGTTTGTGAAATAAAACGCGTTCAATACAGTTCACGAAGCATTTAATCAAAGCCCACACATTCGACGAGCACGTGTTGCTTGATTTACCTTCACACAAAACGTCATACATTGTCACTGTCTAACAGATGTAAGAATAAGAGAGGACAAAGAACAAGAGAAATTGACTTTCACAAAAACTTAAAGAGAAAGACTGGTTAAAGGGGGAAAATAGAAATGCTTAATAACCAGGATAGCATGAGGAGCCGGTGCAACGTTCTACTGGCGGTGGAGCGGGCACCCGGTTGCAACAAATCCTGAGTTGATTCTTCAGACTGTCTATGTTCCCTTTCTGGTCGGCCAATTCTCGGCGCAATACATCTATTGTTTGGCGTAGGAGCTTCAGTTGTCGGATCACTTCATCTAAGGAAAATAAACAGTAAAAAAATATGTATTCGAAAGAACAAAAGCGTTAATAGTAGTCTAGATATTAATTATCTGGCCTAATCTGTATCCTATCATAGACAGTTTAGTAACTTAATTAGCAGAGGTTAAAACTCAATTAGATATCTTTCGGAATACTGTAGTAGTATTCTAAAGTAAAGTAAAGTAGCAGCCTATACATGTCCCACTGCTGGGCAAAGGCCTCCTCTATGCAGAGGGTATCAGGGCATAGTCCACCACGCGGCCCCACTGCGGATTGGCGAACTTCATATATCTTCGAAAAAAATTTTGTTTTTTTTTGTTATTATTTTTCGAAAATATGCCAGGTTTCCTCACGATGTTTTCCTTCACCGCGGAGCATATGATAAGTCAGCACTTAAAGTTAAAAACTTCATTGGTACCGGCACCGGGGATCGAACTCAGGTTGCTCGAGTATATTGAATTAAAGGCGAGCGCCCGGACACTGAGCTATCACGGCTCTTGTATTCTATCTGAAAATAAATACAATACAATTCGTACCATCACAAGACTCTATATCAGTAGATGGGATGTCTCCCCTTTGCGTTGTCGGCTGCGAAGGCTGTGGTAGGACGCTATTGGGATCGATGAAATTCGTTCTATAATCGTCCCCTTGCATTTCCTCCTCTTCTCTCTTCCAGCGAGCGTCCCTCGCTATAAAATCCTTGACTTCCTCCACGTCCGATTCATCGCCTGACATCAGAGTAGGCGGTCTCACCAAGTCTTCGTGTATGCCGCAACCAATAGAGTCTAAGGCCGCGTGCTCGTTACCGTATACCTCGATCGGTGTATTTTCTTCTCGATACTGAAATGAAAGGAAACATTCAATCACACCGTCATTATTTTTCAAACCATTATCGAAAGCGTTAATTTCTTTTTTGATAATTTTGTTGGTGAAACCATGGTTTTTAATCTTAAAAGCCGGCCAAGTGCGAGTCGGACTCGCGCATGAAGAGTTCCGTAAGGGTGTAAGTTGTATGGGAGCCCCACGTAAATATTTTTTTATTCCTTTTTTTTAGTATTCGTTGTTATAGCGACAACAGAAATACATCATCTGTGAAAATTTCAACTATCACGGTTGGCCTGGCGACAGACAGTAATAAGGTTCAGAGTATGAAATGTTAACTTAAAAATTCCAATAACCGCTTAAATGCGTCGAACATGTATGTTATGAAATTAATAATATATCGCACTTGGAGTCGTTAATTTTTAAAGATTTAATAATACTACTTCTCTAGACACTAAATAAATCAAATGAAATCTCTTAGAATATAGTTTCACTTACCACTTTAAGCCGCTTACTAGAGAACAACTGCAGCACGTCATGCTTCCCGGGCATGTCGTGCCAATGAAGGGTTTTGCAGCCAACGAACAGCTTCACACGCTTGGGTGACACGACGAATATGAGGCTGCCGCGGGAATTTGTTCCCAGGCCCCACGACACCGACTTCAAGTTGCTACCGTTCAGGCTTTCCAGGGACACTAAAAAAGATACATCTCTTTAAGCTCTTTTCTTTTTGAACATTAAAACATGTAGAAAAAGTACGAAAAGATTGTCGCCGCTGTGGGAATCGAACCCACGTCTTCGGCATTCGCGGCCTGACGCTCTAGCCACTGAGCTAAACGGCTGATAGCCACAGCGTCGAAAATCTTAACGCCTTCTTTCTACATTGTTCCCACAGCGGCGAAAATGAAATAATTGTAGAATTTGTATTTATGTCTATGATAATAAAAGCCTTTTATTAAACTTTATCTAATTTCTGTAAAGTTGCATGTAGTAAATTATTTTTTGAAAAATAACGTCATAAAAAAGTTTCACTTCTTACGAGTGTACGCTAGTACACGCACACATTTTTTTTATTTATTATAATAGCAAGAGTGGCAGAACTAATTCTCGCCCAAGACTGGTCTTTCCTTCTTATTTTGTGATGTTCCACTCACCTTTGTTGGTCTTTCTGTTATAGTAGAGGGATACAGTGACATCGTCAGAGCTCAATGCGCGAAGCAACTCTTCGCGTTTGCTGGACTTTCCGTGGGGTCCTTTGATCAGAACAGCAATTTCACCACCCTCTCGTGCCGACCCAGCGGCTGCTATAACATCATTTGTCGCCTCTGAAATAAAAGAAATTACTCACTTTAATACTTTTTCCTGTATTCACGTGTATAATCATAACATAGTATAAAACAAAGTCGTCCCACCGGCTGTCTGTCTCTATGTTGCTTAGATCTTTAAAACTACGCAACGGATCTTGATGCGGTTTTTTTACTAGATAGAGTAATTCAAGAAGAAGGTTTATATGTATAATACATTGCACCCATGCGAAGCCGAGGTGGGTCGCTGGTGCGTTATATAGTAACTTAAGTATTTGTTAGAAAGGTGTACTATCTATATGTTTTCATTTGTGTGAGTCTTCATTAGCTTATTGTCCGGGCGCTCGCTTTTAATTTTAATATATTAGAGCAACCTGAGTTCGATCCCCAGTGCCGGCATCACTGTTATAAAAAAATATTTCGAATATGTGAAGTCCGGCAATCCACAGTGGGGCCTCGTGGAATAATAGTAATATTCCCTGAATAACTATAACGTGAAATATAAGATCGGATCGTCTCATTCTCAAATCCATGGTAGCACTTTTAAGGTTACCATTTTCTATAAAATTATACAGTACACTGCAAATAAAACAGATCGAATGAGAAACACGCGGCCTGTAGAAATTGTAACTAATGTCAATAGGCCAATGAGATAAACACGATAGGCAGAATTCGTGAATTGCCCGATAAGAGGTCTTTAACCTACTGAACCGTAAAACGATTGAGACATACACGTATGTATGTTGCAAAACTACATAACTAATATATATGTGAAAATACTTTAGTTCCGGACAGCTTTTGATTATCCTTAAACACTCTATTCAATGATAATCAAAATCATTCAGTGTGCCAGAAGCACGAAGAAAAATGTCTTCAAGAGAATAAATAAAGAAATAACATTTTGAAAAATACTTTTTTTACTTAAGTGCAGAGATGATTACTACAAAATTAATAGCACCCCGGGCTCGATTTATCGTTGTAAACCGATTTTTGAAATTGTATGTCTGCTATAAAAGAGTTAATAATAGATGCGCCACGCAATAATAAAACTAAATGTAAAATAACTAATAATATAACTAATGTATAAAGCTTAAAATACTATCTTTTCTTCCAAATACTTTTTTTTCTGCTTAAAGAATGCAATACGTTATTTTTCTCAAAAACAGTTGGCAACCCTACCTACAATCTTTTTTCGCTACTCTATGGTTTGACAGTTTTTTTTCCTCGATGCATTGTCCTGTCGGCAGCTTAAAAAAGGACTCGACGAAACCTGTCCACGTAGAGCGCATGACCGTAGTCCTTAGTAGCCTACTTATGGATGAGAAGATCCTATCCCGCTAGTTTCTTTTTTTGCTACATATGGTCGCATTAATTGACCACTTACGAGGCCTTTGATTCGACTAATATAGAAAGCCGGAGTGGCGAGATGCAATTTTCACACACACTCCTCTCTAAACGTTAAACGGTACAGAAATACCCGTCATTTTAATATTCCCACCTTTATTGTATATCATTAAATTGTAAATGAATTGTAATTGAATTATTAAATAAAACAAGTACAGAGTCGCGATCCGTACATTAAATATATTTCATCGCGACAAATAATTAATTCCTATTTGTAACAAACAACAGTGAACAAACAAGTATTTTTGTTTAGTTCTCATGGACGACTTTGACCACTTTCCAAGCTCAAGGAACATAACGAATAAGACTGAGCTGAATTGTTTTATTTTTGTTTATTAAGTTATACGCGACGTCGAAAATTCTTATGAAACAAACGTATTTAACTTGAAGGTTACAGGCAAATCTCTTGTATTGTTACAAAGCACTCAATGTCTTATAAACACAAATATATTTAACTTGAATGTTAAAGGCGAATCTCTTGTTTTCAATGTTGCACTCAATATCGCACTGGCGTAATATGGACACTGGCTCGCCCAACGTTCGTTCGAGGGTTATTCTCGATTGCGATGACACGGGCCTGAGTTTGACTCATGCGGCACTTTCTCGTTTTATTGCAGGATAACCGAAGCAGTTATGTTTGCGAACCGAGCGGTTTCGCAATTGGTCAATGTAAATAACTTTAACTCCGGCGTAATTCAAATCAAATAAATTTTAAACGATAGAGAAAAATCACTTATGAATTTATCAACAAGCAGAATTCGGCGGTCGCTTATAGTTTTCGAAAAAATAAATAATGAAATAGTGTAATTTTTACTATAGAAATCCGCCATTTTTTGTTGTCAATATGTCAATTCAGCTCGTATTTCTTGGTGGTCATAAAAAAAAAAAACCTAACATCGAAGGTTAAGGCGGGAGCTCCGCTCCCGCCTGAACCTTCTAACCTAATCTATCCGAGTCGGATTCGCTCTGTGTCGGTTCTGTGACTCATTAAATTAAAAAAAATCGGAATATCGATACGTGTATGATGTCGCCCGCTTCCTATATTTATCATGTTGGCAGAACTGTGTATTGAGTTTTTGAGGTTAACAAATAAAATGGTGGATTTCTTAGTACAAAAAACAAGTTTTAAATATTTTTTTCTCGAAAACTATAAGCGACCGCCGAAGTCTGCTTGTTGATTAATTCATTAGAGATTTATCTCTATCGTTTAAAATTTATTTTAATTGAATTATGCCGGAGTTAAAGTTATTTACATTTACCTCGCAATTAAACATCGCTCGAATAAGATCTTATCTCGACGGCGCTCACAAAATTGCAGAGCTTACGCGACGAAAACTGTATGGCCCTATCTCACGCATACGGTGAAAAGGTACTTTGTGACGTTTCACAACCGTTTACTTTTCTGTTTACTATTCTGACAGAACTTAATCGAAAAGCGGTTTTAAAAACGGCCTACAATCTAAGTACAATGCATACTTGTGCTTCATGTCCAATAATATTGTATACAAAAAGCAAAGTAATCTACCATCAAGTAAAGTATCTAGCCATGTTAGCTCTTCCATCGTCTCTATACACGCGTTAGAACTCACATCTAATACTAACTATGAAAGCGTATTTATCCAAAGATGCAAAGCAAAACGCTTCACTTAAGCCAGCCCAAAGTTTCACTGCAAATCAATTCGTATGAACGCGAAACCTCTAATATTAAAATAATACTTCAAGCTTATACTTCAAAAGTGAAAGGAGACAGCCCTTAAATAATTATCCTAACGAATACGCAAAAACTCGAGAAATACCTCGAGACATTTCAATCATCCTCGCGCGTACATTATAGCGGTAAAGGTAACGCTCAATCGAAGCTGTGATGTCACCGATGGCGTAACGGTTCTGGGATAAAAACTGGCCCCGACCTTCTAGGGCCTTCTGGAGCCTTCCTGGACCGTGATCCGAGGCCATCTGGTACCGTAGCCGGTTTACAGCTAGCGCATCACACGGTACTCTTTCTAACAGCTTTTTTTAATCGTCGGCTCCTTTAAGGGCTCCTCCTGCTGGCTCAAAATCATCCAAGCTGCATGACACAGGACGTTTTAAATCCACAAATAGTACATAAACAAGTGCCAAACTATAATATCAATACACCAAAAAAATCGGATATAGAACTATTGACCGTTGACGACCTTTTTATTAAGTTTTAATTCATTGTTCATTTTGAATAACCACACCGAGTAATAATAAATATGTTATATTTACGCGTTAATACTTGTAAAACAAATAATACTTAGAAACGAACGGCTTTGTTTTGTAAGTAGGTATTTAGCTTCACGTATTACTCGTATATGGCAACTTGGTTAAGATATTACTTTTCATAAATCTTCGTTGCTCCAACTAAACAAGCTTTATAAATTTATTGTGAAATGTAATATTGTAAACATGTGGAAAGGTAAAGAAAGTATTGGCCCTAATGGGAGAACCGTAGTAGATGGGGTGACGACCTGTCCAAATGTACGGGAGGTCGGTGGATACAGTTGGCACAGGATGGCTTCGTGGCAGTATTTGAGGGAGGCCTGTGTTCAGTAGTGGCCTCGAACAGGGTGAAATGATGATGATTAAGGTCGTCGTCGTGACGGACGCGTGTTTAAATGCGCTAACCAAGTCGCCAACACCGCTTTAGCGTGACATATTGGGAAAGGTAAAGTCATTAAATAACGTAATCAGACCCTGTTAATAAAAAGTGTTTCCCACAGCGGGGACAATCTTTTCGTACTTTTTCTACATGTTTTAATGTTCAATCTTAAGTGCAGAGATTAGCACTATAAAAAACTTTAAAATTTATAAAAATAATGATAGCAAAATACGAATAAATTTAATAAAGTTTGAAATGTTCATTACATCTCGATTGATTTAACTGCACAGGCTTCTGAATTACTTTCTCTAACGTCCTTTGTGTTTTAGTCCCCATGCAAAAGATGATGATGATGATTTCCAGCACGAATAATCACTTCTGTATATCATTGAACGTTCAAAACAGCTCTGGAAATCTTGTTAAGAAGACTAGCTTACCCGCGTCGTCCGCAATGCCTCCGCAATATAATATAACAGTCTGTATCCGTTGAGCGGTCTTTGTTATTGAAGTCTGTACTAAACGTTACCTTGGATGTAAATGTACTTTGATTAGAAGCGTCGGGTTTCGTGGCCACGGCTGCCCTTCGATTACCATTGCCAGATTTAGGCAAACGGCCGGCAACAACAGTAAGCGTCGACAAAAAGCCACGCGACCCACGCGCCACACCTTGGCGTGAGAGCGGATCGCAATGCGCCCGTGGGTTTAACTTTACCTAATACAGTAACTTGACGGCGGCAGTGAATTATCTTATAAGCTATCTTAAAGCTTATCTTGCCCTTAAGGAATTCTATAAATCCGCGTATATTTATTTATACCTATAATTGTTTGTACAATAGCTTACAATGACGAACTTGTGAAACCATTAGGTGTTCTCTACTAGTCACAAAGAAAAGTAAAGTATCAGTCTATACATGTCCAATTCCACTATACACAGCAGGGCAAAGGCCTCCTCTGTATAGTGGAATTGGCGGACTTCACATATCTTCGAAACATT